TTCACGGAAGACAACATCAATATGGATATACGGTGTCAATTCAACCGTTGGTGCTGAAAGATACAAAGGCCCTTGCTCCCAATTGCGGACTTCATTCTCTTCGACTTTCCAGATGATTTTTTAAATATTGATGGGAAAGTTGAGGATTGGAACTTTCTCACACCTGACCACTTGCTTGATGCATTTCTATTGTCTGAAGCACTTATGCTCGAAGCTGGCCATATCGTCTTCATCCTACCGAACGACCCCAACTGGATGTATGAGCTTATGACATGCGCAGTAGAAGTTCATTTCAAATCATTCTCTTCCAGGTGCATCATGGATCCTATTGGTGTCGATATGAGGGGCATCCAAGGGAAGCCTGAAAAGGTGAATATGTATTTTATATTTTTATCTAATTTCTAAATATTTTTATTTTCCAGGTTATGATGTGGACCTATTATGCCTTTCTGCAGAAACACACATGATGGGTTTCGTGATAGCCAACGTGCAACACCTGTTTTGCCTGGGTACGATAGTTCCACTAACATCATACCCAACCTTGTGGATGAGCAGATCCGCAACACATTTCCAGGGTATTAATTCCGAACTCCATCGGTAATGCAAGTCTTGCTTGAGCTTTATTGCCCACCAGATGGTGTTGTGATTGATTGCACAGCAGGTAGCGGTTCTATGGTGGAGGCAGCACGTGACTTTGGTAGGTCGGTGTTTGCTATTGAAGAACATCATTTCTTCAAACGCTAGCTCAAAGGATTTCGTGAGTTGCCTTCAACCTTAAGGAGGTAAATTATGTTTATTAAAATTTCAATATATAATTCTATTTTAAAGATCACAGTCACCTGGAATTTCTAGAATTGGAGGCTTTGGAAGTCTCCTTGACGATACAGAAGCCATGGCTCAACATATGCAAGGTGAATCTTCCCCACAATACCAATATAGGAGGAAGTATAAAAGAAATCATTATGTTGATGATGAGGCAAAAGAAAGTTAATTGCATCCTTATATAAAATGGAAAGCTTGTTATCTGTTAGATGTCAGTGAAAGTGTCAGATGTCAATAAAATTGTCAGATGTTAGTGTCAGTGTCAGATACTATAATTACAAATTATCATTCTCACTTGTCACCATCACTTTGTAGCGCTTGTATGTTGCCATCTCCTCCTTCAACATTTTGTAAACAATTGTATGTGATATGATAGCACCTTCTAGAACAAGGTATGTTACCTACAACTAATATCATTTTATTATATTTTTTCTTTTAATAATGACAATACTATAGTATAGTAAAGTAATTCTAGATTTTACATTCCACTGTAGGGTGGCCTAAAAACCTCATATTTTGCACTAGCCAATGCAGTGTTTCCCAAGAGGATGTTGTTCCTCACCATGAAGCAATAGTGGGTATGTGTTTGTAACTCATTCTTGAATTTATTGTACATCCACACGTGCACATTTTCCAGACCTGCCGTTGGGCAATTCCTATAGTGCTCAAGAAAAGTTTGTAAACCCATAGAGCCATTTGTCTTGTCCAAGAAAAAGTAGCATATTGGACATCAAATGTAATAGCGTTCTGTGCTTTCAAGTAGTCCCGCCATATCAAGAGCAAGATCTTGCAAAAACATGTGGCATTGCTCTTAAAGCGCTGGAGGTAATCCCTCTCTAGTAGCAAGATCCGGAATTTCACATATAAGGACCTCTAATTCAGCTTCACTAGAGCCCTCAGCAGAAAAAAGATTGTTATGTAGAGGTGAAGGTGGAATGTTGGTAGAATTTGGGGATGGAGATGGAGATTGATATGAAATGCTGGGGGGCCAAGTACGAGTAGCAATGACTTTCCTTTGAGCCATTTCAATACAAACTTCTAAGGAGCTCAAGGAGAACAAAAAACCTACAATGACTATAACATTTCTAGATAGTTTATATACTAAGTTTTAGTCTTGGGAATGAGGTTTATTTATTATAACACTGACAATACTTAGATTCTTTAAATGTCAGTCTTGGAAATGGGGCTTCATAATCATAGCTTTCTTGTAAACATAAGAGCTTCTAGAATTTTAGATTATCGTGTATACACATGCTCTATCATTATGATGAATCTTACTTTACTACACATATATTCTTTTCTACACATGCCAAATGTCTAGAGAAATAAATTGCAAGGAAATATAGACCACATTATAATAGCAGAGCACATTGGCATGCTACCATTCTCTTATGTGAGATTGCCTTTCAGTCTTGGAAATGTAGATAAAGTTGATTCTTTGATGTAATATTACTTTTGAGTCTTTCGAAAGATTTTGATTTCTTTTATCATTATTTACAAATAATTCCCGAAAACTTTTAATGAGGATTCACTGCGAAATATACCTTGGTCTTATCATATGAGAGGATTGCGATATAGGCAAGCAACAGAGTTTTTAATATGAATTAATATATAAATTACAAATGTCATGGAAAGTTTTATGGAGTAGATTTCTTGGTGCTTTCCACCGTGCTGTTCATTTCTTCATTTCTCTTGCTATAGACTGTTGTTTCAGAAGTAACAGGAACATTTTTATCAATCGTGATAAAGGTCTCTACATTCCCAAATGGGTAATAAGGACCAAGAGTGTAATATGGAGATTGTGGTAGTGAGACAAAATTAACATTCTCACATTCCTTTGCACTACAACTCTTACTCACAGATCTTGTATTTTCCTTGCTTCCCATCTTCTCAAGAACCCTAAAAAATCTTTTGAATGAAGGAATAGTATCTACAGCTGTAAAAGTATTCAAAATATTAAGTAGTCAAATCAAATATGACAGTTGTAACAATTGTCATAATAAAATAATATAGTTTTATAAAAGATAGGTTCTCATGAACTTTGTCTTTTTTAAACAATTCAATCTTATAGAAACTTTTAACTTAGATATTTATGTATTTTAATATTTTAAAGTTTGCTAGAACCTTCATTTGTTCAATTTAGATCTTCTTTGTAATATTTCTTATTGACTATGTTGACTTGAGTTGACTTGTGTTGAATTGAGCTCAACTCAACTTTAGACCATCCCTAAAGTGAGTACTAATTCCAAAAGTTGAGCAATAGATAGCATCAGTTCATACTCTCATCCTAAAGAGAGTATAGTGTAGCAATAGGAATACTCTAATGCAACACTTCTTTGGAAGGACATAAGACCTAGCAATGCTGCACCATGTGTGGGAGATTGGCTCTCTACTTCCAGCTACAACTTGGCAATCCTCTTGGATCACTTCCACGAACTAAACACAAACAACCCCTTTGCAGTCTTGAATCTCAATCTTGCCATCAAGTTTAATGGGATCTTGAATGCCTTGCTCCATCACACCAAATCCTTATCCATCTATGTTGCTAATGCAATGGCTTTATAAAGCCTCATTTAAAAAATTACACTAAAGTCCATATGGATCTAAAAGTGGCAACATAGCAACCTCACACACTATTTATGGCAGCACTTCCTAGAGGTTTGACAGTTTTAAACAAGCAACAGTTTGAATTAGATGAGTGTTGTTTGGAAGTAGAATTGGGCCAAAAACTTGCTATGATAGGCTTGTGTTCCCTAGAACATCTGGCAAAGCCAATGTTATGATAATTTTGCTCTTCATCTTAGCATCTGGTAGAACAACATTATAAGGCGTATGTGGCCTTGACCACAATAGCGACAACAACCTCCATGTCCATGACAACCTTACTGCTGCTGATAGTAGTTGGCATTGCTGTTTGACATTCATCATGCGTTGGAGCTTCTGGCTCACCACCCCAATCCGTACTATATACTGAATATACCAATCTCCACATGTACACTTTCAATTGGAATACTTGAATGCCATTCTCAGAGAAGTTTCTGAAATGTGTGAGCCTGGAGAAGAGGGAGTTGAGGTTTCCCCCAAGCATCCATCCAAAGAAATTAAACTCTTGAACATGGCCAGTGATGTTGTTACATAATTCTTGAGAGAGTTGTTATGACAGAAATGTGCAGTTGCTGCTGCTACTACTGTGATTTGTAACACCTATTTTGAAAGCCAGCAGTGCATTTATCTCCTCTGCTGATAAATTCCTAAAGCCGTGAGGAGTCTTGATTGGAAATTATACAAACATCTAGTTTGAGTTAACTTCACTATATCAACAAGATTACAGCCTTTTGAGTTTAAATAAGAACCCTAATAGCAATACCGGACTTGGAAAGCCTAAAATCGGAAACCCTTAGAAAAAGGGGGGCAAATGGCTCTTTGCGCGCCACGAATCGCTTTCCAGCTTCACAGTCCACCTAGGGTTTGTAGCAAGTTGCGAGGGAAGGAGGCCGCATCGCCGCTGCCCAAATGTATGGCGGCCAGCGGCGCAGCGCTGGGATTGATGCTGTTGCCCACTTCTGCGGCTTTTGCCGCGGCGCAGGACAATCTAGGGTTTATTCGCGAGCTCCTGTCCGAGGAACCCGCGAATGCTCTCTCACTCCCGACATGGACCATTCACGTCGCCAGTGTTGTCGAGTGGTAAGTAAGTCGAGCTCGAGAGAGAGGAAAAAAGAATCAAAGTTTGGCAAAAATCCGAAGATAAAAGCGCAAAAAAGTCATCGTTTTCGTTCTTTTTGCAAGGGTGGTGGCAATGATTCTGGTCTGGCAATATGGTGACACAAAGAACAATGCAGCTTGGAAGGGCCTTTCGTGGGGAATGGTAAGCATTTCTTCTTCTTCACCAAGTTACACTTGAGAACTTGGCCAATCTTCTCTTCTTTTTTCTTCTTAGGTTCCATTGCTGGGTGGAGCTTTATGCGCTTGCACCTGGCACTTCTTCTATAATGCCGAATCACTGGAGGTATGCTCGTCCTCTCGCAAGCCTTGTGTTCTTGTGCTAAGAGAGTTTACGAGAGGTTTTTTTCTCTTGCAGGTGTTGGTCGTAATGCAAGGTGCTCTGACGCTTGTTGGCAACATCACTCTCTGGATCGCTGCGTATAGAATCTACCAGAATAGCTCATCTTCGTCCTCGTCATAGTGGGTACGCTAACGCGGTCATTCTCTTTTGGCTCCGCTGTTGTTAATGACGACAGTGGCTGCTGCTGCAAGCTTTGAAATTCTCGCTTTGACGAGTCTTGTTCGATCCAACTCGAACCAGGATAGCTCAGCTCTCACCTTCCATCACTTCTCCAACATGCTCCCGGCATCAGCAGACAGGTTTCCACGGAAAGTGATATCCTTTCTTGCACCGGCTTCTCTCTTTTTCTCTTTGCATTGTTCGTATACGTTGGAAGGACGGAGATGTGCTTCTGCTCGGCTTTTCTTCATTTCCCTTGAGCCAGGTAAGTACTTGATGCAGCAAGTTATGGTATGGTCCTCTCGAGTTTTTCCCTCTGCTGCTAAAACTTACACTCGGATTGTCTTCCTTCCAGCCGATAAGCTCCTGCTTGTGGGGTCATCCACAAAAGCCCGCATGACGGCTTCCTTCATACACGCATATCATTACGGTGGCCATGTTCTGAGACACAGGGGTCCTACGATTGAGCGAAAGCAAGCAAAGGTGTGCTGCACGAGGCTGCTGCCACTGGCTGCGGCTAAAGCATCCTTTCTTACCCGTGTTTGTACTAGCGTACTCGTCCGTTCATGCAACAAAGTTGTCGACTGTACTGTAGGAGGCTCCAGCCAGCTTCTGTTCGCCAGGTGTGTGAGTGCTCTTTTGATTTCAACGCATACTAACACCGATCGCTGCTTCAGTTGCTGCGGATTGGATTGGACAGCAGGCAATAGATTCCTTCCTCCAAAAGCTGCTGGCAAGGATTTGCCTCCACTGTGCGAGAGAAGAAAAACTTTAGCAAGGCTGGAAGTTTAAGCGTAGAGAACGACGGCCTGTAGCAGCGTTGGCGTTGTCGGTAACGTTCCGTGGTGGCGGTGGGGGTGTCAAGGTACATCGAAAATGAAACTCGTCGCAGGCTTTAGCGTTAACGTTTTCTGGTGACACAGGCTGAAAAAGCATTTGGATCATTCTCAGAGATTGAGAACGCGACACAAGTCTTGGCAGTGAGCGTGCTTGCTATCGAAGTGTTCGTTGGAGGAGGTGAGTTTGTTTTCTATCAAAAGCATTCTTTTCTTCTGTGGTGCGATCGAAACTAACGTCGTTTCACGCGACAGGGACTGGATTTCATGCTTTCGCGTATTCATTCAAACATTTTACAAACGGTAGAGAGAAAAAAGCGGAAAAAAAATAGGTACCTAAAGCCACTTCAAAGCTGCTGCTTGGGCAAAGTCAGCTAGCTTGAGCAGCAGCAAGAAAAACCAATCGATAGAGGAAAGAAAAGGAAGAACTTTGATAAGAAAAAGAACGATTTTTCGCGAGACTGTGCTATCGAGCAGCGATGGATGGAAGAACCTTGGGTGACGAGGACAAGGTGGTGGAGTTAAACGCCTCGGCAACGTCTTGGACGCTCCACCCGGATCTCTTGAGCGAGTCGGAGAGCTCCTGGACTTTAAAAACGAGGCCTTGGATCACGGCTTGGCGGCTTTGCTTGCTGCTGGGAACGATGGCGTTGGAGGAAGAACGCGAGACTACTGGATCGTCGATGGGAGGAAGAACTATCATCTCGCAAATCTCGTCCTCCTTCCACCCCGCAATTCGCAGCCTTCCAGCCATGTCGTCGAGATATCCATGGAGCCATCGCTGCTGCTCGCTCTGGATTGGAATGGATCGATCGACTTGCGGGCTCTTAGGTCGATCTGGAAGCGCAGATGGATTGACTTGTGGCAGAGCTGCGATCGATGGATTGACTTGTGGGCTCTTGGCTCGATCTGGTAGAGCTCCGATTGATGGAATTGGGGAAGAAACCACCACTTGGGCGCCAAGATTCGCTGGAGCGATCGCTTTGGGCGAGCTCTGTGGCTTTGGATCGTCGAGCTGGGGCGCTTGGCCGCAGAGATCGCTCCAGAAATCGATGTGCTTGGGCTTCTTGGCGGCCCAGGCAGGGGCGGCCATGGTGAATCCAAGCAGAGATTCCAGAGCCACGCCCTTGGGATGATTCTTGCGACGAGACACCACATCCAAGCTCCGCCGCGGCGGCTCGGCGCTGCCCCCGCCGCCATTGCTGCTCCCGGTGCTCGAGACGCTCGGGCGAGGAGAGACCTCGGCGCTGCGCGTCCCAGCCATGGATCTAGAGATCCCCTTCTTCCTCCGGAACGCGAAATCCAAGCTCCTCATCCCCCACAGCGAGGAAGAGGAGATCTTGTCCCTGTCCCCTCCATCGCTGGATCTCCCCATTTTCATGGAGCCCATCAAGCACGAGGACGAGGAGCTCGAGTCCTCCTCGTCTAGCAACCGCGAATTGGGATCTTCCTCCTGATCGCCATGGAAGACCTCGCGCTCGAAGAAATCCGCCACATCGTTCCCGACCACCGACACCTCGCCCGATTGGACGAGTAGCACTGGGTTGCCAGCGCTGCCCGAGGATGGGATGTAGCAATTACCATACACGGGCACTAGCGGCGCCACTCTCTCCAGCGCCGCCGCCGCCATGGCCGCCGCTTGCTCGCCGCCGCTGGGCCGATCGCCCCACTTGTCACACCAGAAGCGACTGCGCCGGACCTGGGCGCACAGATCCGCGAGGGGCTGCTGGATCCGGGTGCGCAGCGAAGCCGCGGGCTCGTGCCGCCAGTCCGGGAAGCTCGATCCGGCGGGGAGGCCCTCGGTGAGGATGGCGCGGAGGTCCGGCGGGAAGAGGAGGCCGAGCTGCGATTCCAGGTGGCCGAGCTCCGTCTCGGACAGCCCGGGCTCTACTCGGACACCGCAGCGGCGGAGATGGTCCATGAGAGATCGCGCGTAGGCCGCGAAGGAGAAGCAGCATTGGCGCCTGGGGGCTGCTGGGATCTGGCGCCGCCGGCTCTGCTGCTGCTGCTGCTGGCTATGGCTGCCCATTTCGATCGATCGGACGAGAAATCTCTCCCTTTCTTCGCTTCCCTTGCTTGTTCTTGGATCAATCAATCAATCTCTTTCACCTCTTCCTCTTCGTCGCAGCTTTAAAGGATTTAGATCCACAGGGACATTCGAGCTAGAAATCATCAAACATAAATCTCTAACCACTCCAGAATCGAGTGATTGATTCTTCGCAACTCCTTACAAGAACCAAAAATTCCTCTTTTTCTCCCTCGCTACGAGCTCGAGACTATAAAGATTTGGCGAGATTTGATGATACAGCACACCACCATGGCCAGGACCACCACACTGGTGAGATTCTTTCTCCTAGGCAGGCAGGCCGCTACAACGAATCTTAAATGGGAAGCCAAAGAGAGCAAGCAAAAAGAAAAAAAAAATTCTCTTGTTCTTCGAGGAGCCCTTTGACTACGTGACAACGAGAAAGAGAAGAAACCCTTTTTGCTTGCCTCTCGCTTCGCTTTCTTCCGCGAGCCTTTTATACGCGAGAACCACTGTAGACACATTACAATAGCATTGCGATTGATAATTAGACTAGATCAGAAGAAACCATGGGAGCTATAGTTTAATCGATTCAATCAGGGAAACCCAAAAAGCAGCGGACAAGCTTCTGAGAGCCTCTGTAGTTATGCCTCGCATGACAGGGATTGATTGAGAGGGCATTGCTGTGCGGCCGTCCAGCACAAAAGAGAAGGGGCATATGTTCGTTTCAGAAGCTTGCCGTTTGGTGAGGGGATCATCCGCCTCTCTCTCAATCGCAAGAAAAAGCGAAAGAAAGGAAAAAGGTGGCGAAGTTGTTTTCGGTTGGACGATCCAAAATTGTTCGGATCCGAAAATGTTGAGTAAAATTGAAAATCTTTGGTTGACATGAGTAAAAAATCACACCAAAACTGCATGTGCATGAGTAAAATTTCATGAACACAAGTTGAACTTCACCTTGGCTCTTCAGGTTCAACTTGCTTGTACAGCTTGAACGTACATATACTGGGCGTACTGTGTCCGCGTATGCGTAATTTGGCGGTTAGAGACTCGGTCCAGTCCAGTCCAGGCCCAGTCTCCAGGTCCTTGCCAGTCAAAACGAAACAGAGGGCCGCGATTTGATTGCCAGCCGCCGACGGACGGTGGGATGGGCGTTTTAATTGCTGTGTTTCTGGTAAGATATATGGCAGGAAAATAAATGCCCTTTCGGAGGTCAGATACCAAGTTTCGAGGGAGAGTTACGCATGGATACCTCTAGAGAGGTTATGGATTTTCGTGCGCTAGCATTGAGTCCCACAATGATTGCCTTTGCATGGACCGCGGCTCTTGGCTCAGACTCCATCCAACCCACAAAGTTCCCAGCATTTGTAACCAATATCAAATGTTCTTTTAGTAATTTGTTTCAACTTCTCCTTCTTTTACTTTGCCTTGAAGCACGATGAATCAGAGAGTTTGATAGTTGCGTTGCGTGTCATCCCCCAATTCCATAATTTAGGACCTTTTGGGGAGGAGGATACATAGCTATCCAAATGTATGCGATCTATAAATCTTCTCCACTTCAGAGTCACGAGGGTGACATATGACGGTGGCAGGCAGGCATCCCCAAAACTTTTTCAAGAGATTTTTTTCTTTCGAAGCTCATGAATATTGCAAATCAGACACTGGCATGTGGTCAACCATACCTTGCCATGTGAAGTCAAAGTTTCGTTCTTCGTTTTTTCTTGCTTGGAATTTTTTGTTTTTCCTTCCAATCCATGAAGCCAGGAAAACGAGTATTAATTTCCAGGATGGATCAAGCTAGAGCAAAACAAGTGGCGCATTGAAAGTCGCAGTCTCCAATCCAGAGAGAACCATCGCTGCAATCACTCCAAAGTTTTGTTCTGGAAGCCGTCTCAGACCAAGCGAGCAAGACTCTATGGACAATCTTTCGCAGTTGTCTATCAACTTCCTGGGAAGAAAATAATGGCTTGGCCAAGAAAACAACACCGAAACTCGTGTCGTGTAACGTAAGAAGCACGGAGAGGAAAATTAAGCAAAAGGCTGAGTCACTTTCGTGGTCCCAAGTTCCAAATAATCTTCTTGGATTTACACTACTTTGCAGAACTAATGTGAACAAGTTCCAAGTTGAGAGTATTTGATTCTAAAACTATCTATTTATTTATATATATATGCTATTTTGAACTTGAAGCATGAGACCTATGAAGTTGGATTATCATTGCCGAGAAAAAAAGAAATATATTGACCGAAAAAGAAAAAACTTACCTAGAAACGAAAAATCAAGGAACAAGCACCACGTCTGTGTCTGCTGTGGTGGGATATTTTTCTCTGGCAGCAGTCATTGGTAGCAGCAGTTGGAATGGCTCCACTCCAAATTATCTTCAAAGTTCCTTTGGATTTTTGTTGTCCTCGGTTTCGTTGGATGATAACACAAACTCTTGAACATGGAACTGAGTTTAGTTCTGAAAGTAGCTAATATATCCTCCAAGCAGTCTTATGCCTCCAGATGGTAATCCAGAGATCCAAACAGATCTCATGAGCTGTATTCGATTGAATCATGAGGAAAGAGAGAAGAATAAGGAGAAAGAAAGAAGAAGAGAAAGACCTTCCACCTTGTCCAGTACCTTGAGGTAGATCCCTTTATGCCAACAGAGATGCCCCAAAAACATGCATTATATTTGGCTACGTTATGTTTATTGATAGGATGACTAACACCTTTGAATCATCAGCAAGTTCAAGGATGCAGTCATCATTTTCCTTCAGCAATTTTCCATACCCCTTCAAGAAATTATCTCCATGGTCAGTGTGCTGGTACTTGGACACATTTCCACGTTGAGTCAGCACGATGTAGTAACTTCCATCGATCTCAAATTTGGGAGTGTCTGAGACGACGAGATTGCCATTGTCTTTGCGGCCAAGTAGTAATCCTTGTTGGGAGATCTTATGCAAGTGTCCGAGTACATTTTGAAGTATTCTTCGAGACGATCAATGATGTGGAAGCTGCAAGTTAAGACAAAAGAAAGTTGAGAGACTCGAAAACATCAAATTGGAATTCTAAAGCTAGAAACTGACATATGAATATCTTGCATGAAGTCGTTCTGAAGCTTAACCCATGCATTGGCCCTGTGATCAACAACTAGTTTGTAGTTGGAATCTTGGGGCAAAGGTTTTCCTGGCTCTTGAACGCTCTCTCACACTGCAATATCCTCTTATAGAACAGCAGATTTTTAAAGAGGGGAAAGACATCTATGCCGGACAATCATAGTGACCAGTTTGGTGGTGGCATTTACGAAATGAACGGTGGTCCAGCTCAAAGCTGGCAGATTCAGGAATTTGCTTAAATCCACGTGCAAGAACACTCGATTTCCTTGCAGAGCCCCATGAACTTGCAGAGATATCATGCAAGCAGTTCTCTTGACCCCAAAAACGTAGGCTTCTA